TCCCTACAGAAGATTTGCATCAGATGCTGCCACACACATGTGCATGCACATCCACATGCACACACACACACACACACACACACACACACACACTCCTCTTGCAATCATGGTCCATGGATTGTATTGGTCTTTCTGGAAGAAAATCTATTAATTTGAGACTTAATCCTGTTTATCAATTTTTCTAAGCCTTGTTTCATGTCTTTGTTTCTTAAACTGTAGATAAATGGGTTCAACATCGATGTCAATACAGTGTAGTTAATTGTTGCTATTCGGTTCTTGACTGTATAGCTAGACAAAGGCTGAAAATAGACATAGCTAATACTCCCATAATAAAGGGTCACTACAGTGAGATGGGAGCTACAGGTAGAAAAGGCTTTGTGTTTTCCAGAAGCCGAGGGAATCTTGAGAATGGCAATGAGGATTCTTAGGTAGGAGATGATGATACAGACAAATGGAGCCATCACTGAGGCCAGCCCTTCTGTCATGGCCACAACTTCATTAACAAATGTAGAAGAGCAGGAAAGTTTCAGAACAGGGTAGACGTCACAAAAAAAGTGATGGATAACATTTGATACACAAAAGGTGAGCCGGTTCACGAGGAGGACATGTAAGAGGGAGTGGAGAGAGGAGAAAATGTTGGAAAAGGCTGTAAGCAAAATACAGTGCCTGTGGTTCATCACCGTGACATAATGCAAGGGGTTACAAATGGCTACATAGCGGTCAATGGCCATAGCTGCCAGGAGATAGTTATCTATGTTACCAAAGACCAGGAAGAAATACATCTGTGCCAGACATCCAGCATAGGAAATAGTTTTTTTCTCTGATAAAAAGTTCACCAACATCTTGGGGACTATTACTGTTGTGTAGCAAATATCAGCAAAGGATAAGATGCTTAGGAAGAAATACATGGGCTTTTGGAGTTGAGGATCAGAGCGGATAGCCAAGATGATGAGCAGATTTCCCATTAAGGTGATCAGGTAGATAATAAGAAAAAGAGCAAAGAGTGGCTTTTGGTCCTCAGGCCGAGAGGATAGTCCCAAGAGAATGAACTCAGAGAGTCTTGTCAGGTTGGACATTCCCATGGACTGGCTTACACCTAAAGAGAAACAGCACTGACAATGAATAGTTCTTACGTCATCTACAACATGGACCTTCCCATATTGTTCTTACACTGTGTAGTTACTGATAAAGCATTTACTCTGACATTTACTTTTATTCCTGAATGAATATAGAAAAATCAGAGCTAAAAGTGCATTTTCATTTCACTTAAATATTTGAGGGAGAGATCTGTCTGAATCAGTTTGGGCTTCTATAACAAATAGCAGTAGACCATTTATCTTAAACAACAATCATTTATTTCTCACCATTATGGCGGACAAAAAGTCCAAGATGAGGATGCTGGCAGATCGGTACCAAATGAGGACTTGTTTTCTGGTTTTCAAGTGGCTATTTTCACATTGTATCCTCTTGTGGCATAGAGCAGAGACAGGAAGCAAGCTCATCTTATAAGGGCACTAGTCCCATTAGAAGGGCTCCCACCTTTATGACCTATTTACCTTCCCAAAGTCCCAACTCCAAATACCATCACATCAGGAATTACGGCTTTAACATACGAATTTGGGGAAGGCATAAAAGCTTATAGAAAACAGTTACAAGAGGTAGAGTGGGGGAGGGAGAGCAAGAGAGAGAAGAGAGATTGATAAGGCTTGAGAGGTTGAAACCCTTTCCTCCCTCTTTACTCTGTTAACTGATAACTGCAGATACCACAGATAGAGACTATGAATCAAGTTCAGGTGATGGTCTCATTAAGGACTATCAGTGGCTAACTCACCTCTAGTTAATGATTGGATAGCTATATTTTCTAGCTATGTTTGATGAATGATCTTTGTTTACACATGTGCTCCTCAGAGAGCTACAGAGAGGTTGGGGGAGGTGGAGAAAGCATCCCTGATGGGGAGTGCTCATGTTGCAATTCCTTCTTCTCCTTGCTCCTTTCTGTTGGGGCCTGGGGGACACATGTATGCCACTCAGCAGGTTTTTTTAAGCTGCCGAGCAAAGATTAGAACCACAGTTGGCCACATGGGATATGGCTCACTTAGGGTATGGGATCAGCCCCAATGACCTTTATTTTAAATCAAGATATTTCTTACTTCATCATTTATACTGGAAGCACAAAAGTCACCTAAATAACTTAGATTTGAATGTGAACAGTTATAAGGAAAAGAGAAGAAAAGATAAAGCAAAGGGGGAGGGAGTGAGCTGTGTAAGAACGTTTTCTCTCAAACTTTGCTGCTCTTCAGATAATACTCCATATAAGATCAGGGAAATGTGACTCAGAAGTAGACTGGAATAAAGAAAGAGTCAACTTTAAAGTATAAATGTAGAAAACCTAAATTTGGGATGAACATAGGTTAGCTCTCTTGTTTAGTGTCCAATGATGGTTAATTATCTCTGAGATCAGATATTTCTTTTTTTTAATATTTTTTATTTCAATTTCTTTTATACATTCAATAACATATGTCACTTCCTTCTCATTTTCTCACCTTCTCACCAGGAGCTCTCAAAGTTGATGTTTTTCCTTTTTTAAAAAATTTGCTGTAGGGTGAGTGTTCTCCCTATAGCGGGAGAGAGAGAGAGAGAGAGAGAGAGAGAGAGAGAGAGAGAGAGAGAGAGAGAGAGAGGGGGGAGAGAGAGAGAGAGAGAGGGTCTGGCCCATTGCTCTGTGTTTTTAAGGGTGAGAGTGCTCCCGAGAGGGAGAGAGAGGGAGAGAGAGAGAGAGAGAGTTCCTCCTGGGGTGTATGGCCATGCCACAATTCTTTCTTCTCCATTCTCCTCTTAGGATTTTGGGCAGGCATGCACACACTTTCAGTATACTTTTCAAGTCACCAGGTCCAGGACTCGAGCTGCTGTTGGGCATATGGGATCCAGCCACCTTAACCACCACCTTTGACTGGCTGGCCCAGTCTCAGTCGATTTCTTACCTGGAAAGGACACTGATATCTTACATCATGTATTTATTCCACTTTTCTTAGTTCTGCTGTATGGACTGATTAGTCAAAAAGAAGACAAAACTGTGCCAAGAAACAGCAAACAGAAAAGGTACTGAAGTGTAAAAAAATCTTCTAATGTTTCTTACATTCGAATGTCCCCTTCTATGAATTCTTACCATCATTTGCAAACCGTAGCTACTCATAGCTCCTGCATTCCTCATGGGAATGGCTTCAGAGACTGTGCCACTAAGTCCCTGCAGATGGGTTGGGAATAGGGTAAGAAAACAAGCATTTAATAACTTTGTACAGAATTGTCTTCAAGGACTCAGAGGAATTACAAGTGTTCTCTCTCCCTGGGTGGTCCCAGATCCCTATCTTTGAACCTCTAGGGATAGTGAAATAACTAGTGGGCATAGGTACCCAAGATGGAAAATAATTTTCTATTCCTAGCTCATCCAAGCTCTCTCAGGGCTTACCTGGCAGCTGTCCCAAGTAGCACTGAAGAGACAGTACCAAGCATTGATATTTGGGTTCAGTTTTCCCTTGAATCGATACTTCAATCTGGCCTCCTGCTTAGTGCCTACATTTCTTCAAAGGACAACTACTCCAGAGTCATCAGTACCTTATGTCCCAATCCTTCCAAGCTTTGTGCATGATATAACTATTAGCTTAGTAGCTGTGACCTTCTGATTCAATACTTTAAATGTGACTTCATAACCTTTGCAACCAGTCTTAGGTCACCATTTCCTTACAAGACATTCTCCAAGTCTGCTGCTCAGATATCTGATTCCTATTCCTTGCTACTCCCACTAGGGAAAAACAGTATTTTTATGACAAAAAGTGTGTGCACACGTGTTCCACCGAGAGAAAAAGCACCATGGACAGGTTTTTCTCTTATTGTTTTCCTTTCTCCCATCCTCCAGCCCCTCAAGATGCTGGGCACCTGACATACTTTCAGGCCAACCTGGGGATCTGAACCGTAGTCAGCCACATGACCATTAACCTTACCAGGCACTGTGCCACAGTGTCTAGGCTTATTGCCAATTTTTACTGACAAGTAAAACTTGCATTATTGAAGGTGTACTATGTGATGATTTGATGTATGCTTACATTATGAAATGATTACCATAGTCTAATTCACACATCTATCACTCTACATAGTTACTATTTTGTGTGTGTGTGTGGGGGGGAGAGTGAGGACACTTAAGATCTAGTACATTTCAAGTAAACAGTATAGCTTTATTTACTTATTTTTATTTTTCATATACATTTTTAAAATTTCATTTTCTTTTATACATTCAATCACATTACTTAGCTTACATAGTGAATATTTCAGCATGTGAACATTTCTCCCTAGTCCAGTTGATAAAACTATAAAATATCTTCAACAGATAATACTGCATTTCTTTGTCCCATTAATGCTTTGCCTCTCTATTTTTCTTCTAAATGTCCTTCCTCAGACCCTACTCTTTCATGCACACTATATCTGGTATTTACATCCATTTATTGTGTTTCTGAAACTGATTGACTAAAGGATATAGAAACAATATAGTATTATTAACCATAGTCACAATGCTGAACATGATTGCCCCAGATCATAATCACCTTACAACTAAACTTTTATCCTTTTATCAACGGCTTCCTATTTCCCCTAACTCCTAGACCCTGGCAACCACCACTCTCCCTGCTTCTATGAATTCAACTATTTTAGATTTCACAGATAAGTGATATCATATGATATTTGTCTTTCTGTGTCTAGCTTATTTCCGTTAGCATAATGTCTTCCATATTCATCACATTCTCACAAATAACAGGATTTATTTATTTTTTTATGATTGAATAACATTCATACACACATATACACAATACATTTTCTTTATCCATTGATAGACACTAAGACTTATTCTGTGTCTTGGATATTAAGAATAATGATGCAATGTACATGAAAGTACAGATATCTCTTTGAGATACTGATTTAATTTCTTTTGGATTTGTACCCAGAAGTGGGATTGCTGGACTTTATGGTAGCTCTATTTTTAATTTTTTTGAGGAATCTCCATGCTGTTTTTCATAATGGCTGTACTAATTTATATACCCACAGTGTGAAGAGGTTTACGTTCCTCTACAGCCCAGTTAAGCATTTGCTACCTTTCATCTTTTTCATAATAGCCACTCTAATAGGTGTGAGATAATATCTTGTTACAGTTTATTTTTGGAGAGGTTTTTGCTATAGGGTGTGTGCGCTCACCAGACAGAGAGAGAGAGAGACAGAGAGACAGAAAGCGAGAAATCACCCCCTGGGGGGATGACCATGCTGCAATCCCTTCTCCTCCATTCTCCTCTCGGGATCTTGGGCACGCACGCACACGCGCCCGGCGTGAGTTTTAAGCCACCGGGTCCAGGACTTGAACTGTGGTGGACTACGTGGGAGTCCAGCAACATAGCCATTACGCTAACTGCTGGTTCCTCTTGTTACAGTTTTAATTAACATTTCCCTGATGATTCATGATGTTGACCATTTTTTAACATACCTTTTGAATCTTTTTTTTTTTTTTTGGAGAGGTTTTCGCTATAGGGCGTGTGCGCTCGCCAGACAGACAGAGAGAGACATAGAGACAGAAAGCGAGAAATCACCCCCCAGGGGGGATGGTCATGCCGCAATCCCTTCTCCTCCATTCTCCTCTCGGGATCTTGGGCACGCACGCACACGCGCCCGGCGTGAGTTTTAAGCCACCGGGTCCGGGATGCAAACCATGGTCGACTATGTGGGAGTTCAGCGACATAGCCATCACGCTAACTGCTGGTTCCCATACCTTTTGAATCTTTGTATGTCTTCTATTGAATAATGTCTGTTCAGATCCTTTGCCCTTTTTTAAAAAAAGTTCATCTATTGAAAGAGACAGACTTATCTATTGAGAAAAACAGATTGTGCCACACCACAATCCTTTCCCCAAACTTCAAGTCAGCCAGAATTGTGGGCATGCCTTTGAGTGTGCCCAGCATATCCAGGTCAACCCAGGCTCTGAACCCTGGTCCTTCCCATGTAAGTCTGGTATCATGCCATGACACCTTACCTCCTGCACCAGCATGAC